CCTTACATTTTGAAAGTTCTAAATCTCTTACAAGATCATTTAATTCTGACTGTGTTATTTTGTGCGATTGGTGGCATGACGTGCTCGGTATAAAATCAGGATCTCTTGACGTTGATGGCATATCTTCTTCCTGACGAATCACTCGATCGCCATGATCTGATTCGCAAGTGTAGGATTCTGGGGGTTTTAGGATTTTCGTCACTGTGAGGCACAGGTCTCATCGCAGATGGTATGTTTGGGTAGTTAATAACCGATTTTTTGTTTCTTGGACATACCTGTGGCTTATCCAACACAAGGTACCATGCAAAAGTAACAATCATTAATATGATTTGTAGGCTCCCTCCAAACCATTGGGACAGCAAAGCGCATAGACCGTTTTTTGCCATTTAACCAGCTCCTCAGACTTGAAGCACATGTATTACAGCAGATGTGGGGTGCCCACTGTTTGTCTTGATCACCTAGTTTACAACCGAAATAAAGCTGATATGCCTTTGTTATTAGTGGAGTAATAGACCGTCTCTGAGACGCAAAAGTCACGTCACCACACACGTAACAAAACTGATCTGGATTGTTTACACACTTTCGAAACATCTTGCATGAACGCTGTCAGCCAACTGAGGAAAAAATGGCTAATATAAAACAATATAATGTACACGTATGTATAACGTAACACAATCATGCCGATTACATCATCTTTCCTTGCCCAATATAAAAATGTAGCGCGTGCATTCTTGTGAATTACAGTATATTAACACTGTCACAGCAGGAACACATATAATTACCGTATCTCTAAAACTTGAACTAATATGGAAAAAATAAGTTTCATTCCGGTTTTAGCACATTAAAAATAGTAATATTTTGTTAATTTTATTTACGATATTTTTTGGCTGTTGATCAGTGTAATCTGTCCATACACAAAAAATCCTCAAATTCAAATTAATGCCAGTCGCGGATCACGGGAGGTGCAGACCCAACCAGCCCCACCCCCCTTCCCCCTGTTCTATGTACGATTCTATCTCAACCTCGTATATCGAAACGTAGCCTGTGGCTACGATTAAAAACCCATTAGGTGATATATTTTGATACCTCTTGTTACCTACCCTTGAGCTGTTCACATTTATCATTCGGTTGAAGCGAAACCTAGTGAATCGATTTAGTCGTCGCATGCTATCTATTCCTACCTGTTGAAAATAATGAATTATTTTTCTTGCCTAGATAAGGGTTGATCAGAGTCATAAAAAATATAAAGGGATACAAATTAATAGACAGCAGTGCATGCAGAAAGTAGGCAGATTCGACTCGCTACTTCTAATAAAATCTATAAAAGCTACGTTTACTTATACGAGAAAGAACGTAGGAAACTTGACTAAAATGAATGAAAATAGGCGGATTCAAGGACGGCGTTTGAACTTTCTGCAAACAGTTTGCCGCCCAAGAAGAAAAATTGCTTCTTCCTTTCTTCTCTTGACGATCTCACATACCACAAAGTTATCAGGATAAGATAGTATAGAACTGTTCTAAAACAGTGAGTAGCAATATTCCTTACTTCTGAGCAGGTCTTCCATCGTAACCTCCTCGTTGTTCTTTCAATTATTCTATTTACAAACATGCGTTTGTTGGCACTCTCCGTATGTTCATATGCTCACTAGTTATTTATTTCGTAAGCATGGGCCATTTTTTCGCACAAAATAATCAGACAAATGCAAGTATACGCACTATTAAAAGACTGATACAACTGATCGAACCAAAGACGCGAAGTGAAAACCATACAATAACTAATAACACAAAAAGTTTGCCAAATTTAGATACACGATAAGAGTAGTAAACAAAAGACGCCAAGATTTCACACGGTACTGTAACTTTTATGTAGGTGATTTTTGGTATAACAGCTCCTTTTGACGAGTCCTATAAGCAGTTAAAATAAGTGATTCAACTTTGAAAACACCCTGTATATAATAATAATGATAATAATAATAATTAACGTCTTTTATTTGTAATATTATTACAGGAGGCGAGATTTAGATTATATATCTATTCTACCATCTAACCCCCTTAACAATACGAGATGTAAAAAAAAAAAGAATTTGTTGAAAATTAATAGGCACCTGTATACAATAACTAATAATCCAAGTAAATACATAAGGAAAATATGAGGACACTTATGGGTTACAACCGATTTCGCTGCTGATCAAGAAGAACTTCTTTCACTTTTTTCTTGAATTTGGATAATGGATTGGTTTCTTTTAAACTGCGGTCTAAAGAATTATATGATTTGATCGCATTGTAAATGTATGTATTCTGAAATAGAGACGTGCTGTGGCGTGGAATTGAAAAAGTCTCTCTATATCTAACATTAATACGATGCATATTCCCTCTACGTAAGAATTTGTCTACTAAATATGACGGTGTTTTTGAATAAAGAATCTTATGAGTCAGATTTAGGAGCTGGTACTTATACAATTTATCAATTTTCATCCATTTGAGTTCATTAATGGCATTCGATATATGATCATATTTTCTGAGATCATTTACAAGTCTGCAACATGAATTCATAATACTTTGAATACGATTTCTTGTTATAATATCTAAATAGGGATAGTAAACCACTAAGCAATACGATATCTTTGAAAACACGAAATATTCACACAATTGCTTTCTCGGAGATTTATGTAATATAGCCTTATTTGCAAATAAAACTCTGAGAATAGCGTAGCACTGAGTAATTAGATAGTTCACGTGTGCAACAAATTTTAAGTCATCATCCATTATAATACCTAGGTTTTTCGAATGATCCACAGGAATTAATTTATTACCTTTTAAATGTATGTCTATGCCCTTTTTTAAGGTATTCTGTTTTGTTCTATTTGCGTATACCAACATATTTGTCTTCAAAGGGTTCAAACAAAGATTATGACTACTACTGAACTTTTCAATTTGGGCAAGATCTTGATTAATTTTATTATTTGCCGTTTCCAAGTCATTACTCCTGAATGAATAGAAAATTTGAGTATCATCTGCAAAAAATTGTATGCTGCATGATTTTACCTCTGTTTCTAAATCTGAGATATATAATGAAAATAATAGCGGTCCTAAGACTGATCCCTGTGGTACACCAGAACAAATTTTTTGTTCCGTGGAGTACTGTTGATTTAGACGAACTTTTTGATAGCGATTTTCAAGGTAGGTTTGAATAAACGAAAGAGGTTTTTCAGAAAATCCATAGTAACTGCATTTAGATACAAGAAGTGAGTGATTAATGGTGTCAAATGCTTTAGTGAAGTCAAGAAGTATGAGAGCTACTGCTTTTTGGTTATCAAGTGCCATTGTTATATTGTCTGTTAAATCACAGAGTGCCGAAGCTGTATTATGACCTTGTCGAAATCCAGATTGTTTAGATGGAATAATTTTGTTAGAATATAAGTAGGCGCAGAGCTGCTCGTAAACAACGCGTTCCAATACTTTAGAAAAAATTGGCAGTAGACTGATCGGTCTCAGTTGACCATAGTTAGTAGGATCAGAACACTTAGCGGAATAACTATAGCGCGTTTCCACTGATTGGGGAAATATCCCCTCTCTAAACAGCAGTTTATAATATGCGTTAAGTACACATCAATTTCAGGTATACATAGTAGTATCATATTCAAACTTATTCCATCTGTACCACTAGAATTTGATTTTATTATATGTATAATTTTAACAACGGTGTCAATAGTCACTTTATTAAATTGAAATTTGATTTTGAGTTATTTTTATTAGCTCGGTAATATGCAATTTTATCAGCACAAGCCAAATCACAGTTCTCGAAAATTGAAATAAATGCCTCATTTATTTTATAAGGATCTGACAAGCTCACGGGAATTGTAGAATCTTTCTGAGATTGTACTTTGTGATAGATGTGTTGAAAATACTGTTGTGTTCTATTTGAACAAATATTCAATATTGAAATAACAGTACCTGGCACCATACAAAGTTATGACCACTGATCATTACTCTGTAACATTTCATTACAACTAAAAACTGCCCATTAACGTTTTCGTGATTCCTAGATGTTACTAATAAGACCCTTGCGTCTTAGCATGGACACCTGTCAATTCTTAGACCTGCCCTACAAAGAACCATTGGTTTTCCAAGGATCACTACATATAACTAAATTGTAAAAAATCAACTTTTTTTATTTAGTACCATAGCAAATATACTAAGTGACATATAAATCCGAACACCCAGTTTAAATGGTTATATCCACGAAGTTCCAGAACCCCATCTTTTACCCTATCTTGACACCCTGGCAGATCCAACTTTCCAACAAGATAATGCACGACCACATGTTGCAAGAGTCACAATAGACTTCTTTCAACATAATGATGTCACATTGTTACCATGGCCACCAAGATCTCCCGACTTAGCCCCAATTGAGCACGTGTGGGATATGATGGGTAGGAGATTGCTCAATTTGCAACGTCCTCCTCAGACTCTAGAAGCACTTCGAGAGGAGTTGGTGGTTGCCTGGAATGAGATACCACAGGAGGACATTGACCACCTGATCAGAAGCATGCCTAGGCGCGTTGGAGAATGCGTAGCATATCAGGGTGCATCCACACATTATTAAAGGTCAAAGGGCTTTAAAGCAGTGCAATCATTTTGAAATTTTTATCATTTACTTATTATGCTTCATTAAGTACTTATACAAAATTTTATTAAAATAAAACCATTTAAACTGGGTGTTCGGATTTATATGTCACTTAGTATACGTATATACCAATTCAGGTGAAACATAGTAGTTTATTTACTTGAAAACACACGTTTTTCTGTGAGCTCGTATCATATGTTTAACGTCGACGACCGAAGTCAACAAAGTGACTTGCTGTTGCGTCTGTATTCTTGTGCTGGATGGCTGATAGTACGATTAGAATGAATTTGTCATCGCCTGGAAATAACTATAACTACAACTCTTCAAGATTTGGCTGTACAAAATAAATGTTTGCATTTGCATCTAAACTCACCTGCCAGCCTTGCAACAAAAGACTTCTGTCAACCGTTCTGAGCCACATAACTGCATCTCCCGCCTGGAAATCCCTGAGCTTGTAGCACTTGGCGTGTAGAAACATCCCCAGACATTTTAGTAATTCTGATGTGGAAGCTTGGATGACAGTCTTCTTGGGAGCCCCCGCAACAGGGACGACTTGATTGTCCCTGCAGTTGCTCAGGGAGTTCTGGCTACTCAGCAACACTTGCTTATTACCGACTTTGTCGCAGTTGAGGTGATGATTATTGTTGGCATTGTTAACGCGAACTATATCTAGAGCCAACGCCGAGGTGCTTTTCGAAGTTGTGTAGTACGAACCGTTCTTGATATTTTTGTTTTTGTCGATGACAGGATGGATATTGTCGACGAGAGGTTGTCTGAAGACGGTGATGTTTTTGTTTTTGTTGTTCTCCAGCTTCTTTTTGTTGTTGTTCGTCGTGGAGAACCGCTTCCATGATAGCGCGTTGATGAACAGTGAATGTTTCTTCAGGTTCTTCTCCAAGGCGTTCTTCTCCGAGATAATCCTGGCGTTGTCGTTATTGTTTATATTATTGTTGCACAGATTATGGTTATTAGAATTTGTAACGCCGTTGCTACTTTTGTTTTCCCGATTTTTCACGTTATTTAGCTGCTCGTACGAGAAATTATTGAGCGTGAAATCCCCATTGGAGCTGGTGGTGTACACTGGGCGTCGTTCTCGAGGTGAAAAACTTAGCACAGTGCCCATTTTGGCGTCGGTGATCGGACGCAACGCGAATGTCTCTATCAAATCTGTGGCTCTAAACGACCGACATGTTTGTTCCAGGCGATGTTTCGAGGATCTCACAGACACACCAAACTGAACCGAGATTTTAAACAGACACTACGTTTTGGGTTCCGCGAAGATCCGTATGGTGACCGAAGTGTCTGTTTCGGAATTCGGGGCTCTAAAGGAGCGACATTTTTCCGGACTGCGTGTCCCGAATCGGACGTTTCGGCCAGATCCAGACCAGGTCGATCTGTAGAGGACTCTAGATGGGGTGGCGGCCGGGCGCCGGCGCTAACGTCGCCTGGCAACCCCCGATGGGGGTGTGATGTCACAAGAAATCAATAGACGGCTGCCACCCACAGTGACGGAGCTGATAAATCAGCATCATGAATTCTTTGAATCGTCCGTTTATTATATTAGCTGTTCTTTAATTCATTATATTATTCCACTATTGCGTTTTTACTTCCCACGCAATATAATATGGAAATATTGTCGACTTGAAGGGTAACATGCGTTGTTTTTGGATCTATAAGAATTTCCTAGGAAAAGAGAATCATTCAGTATCCGTTTTGGTATGTTTCTTGTCTTCTTAAATCACTAAAGGATAAGACGACATCTGGTCTAGATGGCATCCCGTCCTTTATAGTCAAAGATTGTGTGGAAGTGTTTGTTGGTGTTCTAACTAGGATTTTTAATATTTGTCTTATAACAAAAAGATTTCCAGATATTTGGAAGATCGCTAAGGTCTGTCCAGTGTTTAAGTGTGGGGATAAGTCAAATATTGAGAATTACAGGGCAATCTCTATATTATGCATTTTCTCGAAAGTATTTGAAATAGTCTTGTACAGTCGCATTTACACTGCCGTCAGCGTCAGCTGTCATTGCATCAACACGGATTTGTCGCTAATCGCTCAACAACCACAAATCGATTTATAATAACGCAGTACCTCTCGGAAGCAATTGATAGTAATGAGCAAGTTGACGTTATTTATACCGACTTTTCGAAGGCTTTCGATAAAATTAACCGCAAAACTTTATTAAATAAGTTAGGTGCACTTGGTTTCACAGATGATGCTAGGGAGTTGATAAAATCTTACTTATCCGATCGTAGACAATTTGTTAGCTATAATGGCTTCAATCTCACACCTACTTGGCACCTTCTGGAGTTCCTCAGGGGTCCAACCTGGGACCATTACTGTTTTTGATATTTATTAATGACCTCTGTGACTCAGTTGAATGTGAACGCCTATGCTTTGCTGACGACCTAAACATTTATTCGCAGATAAATAAATGCTCCTGATGATTGTATCAAGCTACAACACCAATTAAATTTTGTGCTGTCTTGGTGTGTAGAAAACAAGTTGGAGCCTAATGTGAGGAAGTGTAAAATAGTCAGCTATACCAGGAAAATTAATGTTTGCGAATATCCGTACTCTATTGATGGGTCTGTGCTAGAAAGATGCTCTGATGTTCGTGATTTAGGTATAATCTATGATCAAAAGTTAACTTTTAGTCAGCATATAAATAAAAAAGCATCAGAAGCATTGGCGGCTTATGGTTTCATAGTAAGGAATTGCAGGAATTTTCATAACATAAAGTCTATTAAGCTATTATATTATGCTTATGTTAAATCCAAAGTCGAATACTGTAGTATTACTTGGAGCCCTTACTATGAATGCTATAGCACAGCTATTGAAAGAGTACAACGGAAGTTTATGAAGTTTGTTCTGTTTAGAATTGATGGGACATATCCAGAGAGAGGTACAAGTAATGACGAACTATGTAGTCGCTTAGACATGTTGAAAAAACGTAGGCACTGTGCCTCAATAATATTTGGCTACAAAATGATCAACAATTCAATTGATTGCCCCTTGATCCTGGAACAGATCAAGTTTCGTACTCCAACGTTTGCATCTCGCAATCATAAAATATTAGGGCTTCCTAGAGCTAGGACAAACATTCTTCTCAAGTCACCGTTATATGTAATGTGCTCTAACTTAAACAGAATTGGATGCTACTGTGATATATTTACGACAAATGTTAATTACCTGCTAAAGGCAGCTAAAGCTTATTCGGACCAATAGCTCATGTTACAAATTTATACCTGTGTTGCATTTGTTGTTTTCTTTTCGCTTTTTTTTGCTTTTGTATTATGTTTATAAATTGTCCTATAAATGGGAAACTATTGAACGATAAAGCTATTATTATCATTATTATTATTCAGTTTGAATAGCAAATACAGTTGTTTTTACTTTTCACGCCTTCCAGCGAGGGAGAATTGTAATTGCGAACAATTATGGAGTTTGAATGTTACCATATCACTCATCTCCGTCGGTATATGTCTCTCTTTCTGTGTGTCTGTTCGCTAATCCTTGGCCCGCACGGGTATCACGTGTCTTGATAAGTGACATTTCGTCGTTTTTTTTTTTTTGACGTTTTGTAGGTTTTTTGTGACATAACCTAGATGTTTCTACATGATGTCAACTAATCACTAGCAGTTATACACTTGTTATGAACTCGTTTTGTAGCTGTACATGTTGCCTAAACGTCAAGATGCTTCAGCTATCAATGTTTGGCTCTGATGAGAGAGAGAGAGATGGCAGTATTGAAGGTCTAAGCTGTAAGTTGTATACTAACTATTCTTCATTGTCTGTCAGAGCGGTCCGTAGGACCTTTGCTCTTGGTTGAAGTATTGTAAGTCAGTACGTCTGTCAGGTCTGGTTGCCCAGATACCAAACAAAGTCAGGGAGAAATAAGGGAAGAAGAAAGGAAGGAAGGAAGGAGGGAGAGCAAAGAAAAAAGAAGTGCATCAATTTGATGGGTGCCTTGGCATTGCTAGTTAGTATTCGGCAATTTTAAATTGATCCTAAAATTAATTTTGGGATTGGTTGTTGAAGAAAAATTATAATTTTGGTTGGACCTAAAGTCGCACGATTTAATTTTGTTCACAGTGCGAGTCGCGGCCTTGTGTGCTGTGTAGTCTACTGACTCGCGCAACAAAGGGTTGTTATGCGATTCTGCTTGACTGTAACGTAGCTGCGCTTGTTGTTTGATGTCGTCCCTTAGGTAAGGGATGTCAAGGTCTCTGTGAAGGGTCTCGTTGGAATCATAACATGGGGCGTTAGTGATTGTACGCAAGGTTCTGTTCTGCAAAACCTGCAGGCTACGCAAATTCGTTTTGACGAGAAAACACCAAGCCGCACTTGCGTAAAGGCGAGAATACACATGCTTGTTACACGCACAGAAGCATGCCAGTTACTGGATTGTGCGTGCTACTTGCATGTGTGACTTTCTTTGCCAGCAAGAAAGCACGCTAGAAGATAGCACGCAAGTAGATCGCAAGACGTTTGATTTTTGTGTGCCAGTAGCAGGATTTCGTCGAGGGAATGGAGGGGAGGAAACATTCGAGTCATGTTCAAAGGTGTGTGAACGACATCGTTACCAGAAACTCGCATGTGAAAAACGGATTCTTGAACTATAGAACTATTTGTTTAGTTCCGGGCAAAATGGCTCGTTGGGGAGACGAAAAGACTTTATTGTTTGTTATGCAGTATAGGGAGTATCCGTGTTTATGGAATACATGATCTCCATTGTATAAAAATAAAATCGCTAGAGACAATGCTTACAAGTCTTTATTGAAGCAAATGACTGATAACAATTTAACATTGAAATTTATGAAAAATAAGATAAAAACCTAAGAACCACCAAGAGTTAAAGAAGATAAAGGAAAGTTTTCACAGACTGGTATATCCAAAACTAGCATGTGTATTTTGGGATATCGTAGGACAAGTAGTTAGCATACAAGTTACTGGCCACTGGCATGCTATTTTACTGGCATGTGTATTCTCGCCTTAAGTGATCGCTGGTCTAATAACCATCTTGTATAGCCGAACTTTGTTGATCAAACGTAATTTTGATGTTCTACATAGCATAGGGTAAAGTTGCTGAAACGAGATTAGGAATTTAGTTTTTAACGATTCAGTGTGCTTATGCCAGGTTATCCCCTTGTCAAGAGTGACACCGAGATACATAGCAGAGCTTTCCCATGGTACCCGAGCTCCATTCACTGAAACCTCAGACGGGGCGCCGCTACGTTTTTTAGTACAATAGATTGCCTGCGTTTTCGAATGATTAATTTTGATCAGCCACCGATTCGCCCATTCCAATACCTCGTCCACTGCACTTTGCAGCCTGTCGTGAACTAGATCTCCAGAGCACGACTGGGCCACCAGCATAGAGATAGGTTTCATAGCTGCTGGGCCGTGTTGTCGACAGAACATTATTAATTTTGATCCGAAATTTCCTACCCTCGAGAAAGGATTTCAAAAGATTTAGTAGCCAGAAGGGTCAGCCCTTATGGATCAATTTGTAGACAAGGCCCTTGTGCCACACCTTGTCAAATGCCTTTGAGACATCCAGTAGCAAGATGCCAGTACTTTCGTTACGGGTGAACCCCCTGAATACTCGTTCAACTAGCCTTATGGCCTGTAGCTCCGTACTATGCTCAGACCGAAAGCCAAATCGCACGTCAGGAATCACATTGTGGTCTGCCGAAAAATTTTCAAGGTGACGTAGAATCACCTTTTCAGCGAGCTTAGAAGGAGCTGACAGTAAACTAATGGGGCGGTAATCCTGGGGGAATATCGAACCCACCTTCTTTGGAATCATTATGACATCAGCGGCCTTCCACGCCGATGGGAAGTGCTGGGTCCTTAGCAGGGCATTGATTATTGCCACGAGATAAGTGAAGGACTTCCGCGAAAGTAGCTTCAGCGCCTTATTAGTGATTCGATCCTCTCCAGGTGCTTTACGCACCTTGAGGTCTTTAATATGACCTTGGAGCTCTGCTGGTGTGCAATGCGGAGTCTCAGGAGATTTCACTGATGTGCCGTGCAGCTCTTCAATTGAGGAATCTTCTGAAGATTCCTCTGAGGAAAAATCACTAAGGGAGGCACAACGGCCACTGACGCCGTTGGCCCTAAAATATCTCCTGACGGATCTTACAATATGTTGCTCCTCGTCGAGGTCATTATCAAGGTCATAGTTGGGAGAGAACTGACTCTCCATTGCATCAGCGAAAACCTCGACCTTTTCCTCTGTCCTACAGACTATGCCCCTAGGACCGTGGATGTGCGGGAGTTGTTCTCGCTTTCCGTTTCTGAGCGGCTTTGCAACTTTCCAGAGAGGAATACTTCATGAACAAGATTCGTTGCTCTGTGAATGTCATTTGGGTGACAAGACCTCTTCGCTTGC